CCTCGTCGTGTGAAGTGGTGAGAGAGCGAGTGCGTCAAGAAATTCGAGTGGTAGGGAGAGTGGTTGAGATTACATCATTGACTTTTTAAACTTAGCGTTCCACTTGCACTTATGGGCCGGATTCACTGTTGGATTATGTCTCTTTTCAAACTGGACTGAGCTTCGATCGGTTACTCCCTCAGGCCCAATACACTATTTTTGGTCCAAACAACTAATTTAATATAGAAAAATAGACATTAATTACTTTTTTTTTTCAATTTTAGCCTTATAAAATTTTCTAGCAGAGTAAAAGGTTACATATGAAAATAAAAGTGTTTTTCAAAAGATGATTTTTTTTTCAATGATATATTTTAATACCAACTATGTTCAGTTTTATAAGACAATTTTAACCAAATCATACCTCAATAAATAAATAAATTATTTTTAAAATCATACATTCTTTTTGTGTTTACTTTTATTTAATAGGATTTCTCAATTAGAAAATCTTATTAATTATACAATCTAATTAAAGATATTTTTTTGAAAAAAACCTTAATAGTTAAATCTTGAAAAACCTAAAATGCCTCATATTTTAATTATAATACTTTGAAAAAAATTCTTTATAATATTGAACTAAATGAGGAAAAATTAGAAGATTTCTTTTAAAACAATATTAATAATTTAACTATTTTTTCTAGATTCTAGTGAAGTAGGTAAAAGGAACTTATAAGATGGAAAAGAGCATTTGACAGTCATCAAAAATAATTGTTGGGCAGAAATGGGTTGGGGAAATTGAAGTTAACCTTTTAAAAGCACCAAATATTAGTCTAATGTTCCATAATTCTCGAAAAGGGGAAAAGGGGAAATAGTTTCTCCTCGCATGGCGCAATTTTTTTTTTAAAATACAAATTCTAACAAATCCCACCATCCATTCATGCAGAAACCACAACGGGACAGAGAGGGAGATTGGGAGAGAGTTAAAATAGTCTGGTCTTGTATTTTAAATCATACTATTCTATCTAACATTTTTGTTGATAATTTGTAGGGCTAGCTCATGTGGAATGTGAAGCATAATCCGAGCAATGGCAGATTTTGCTCTTGGCCTTTGGCAAGAGTGTTTGCTTTGACTTGTTGGCTGTTATGGACATTGAGATGCAAACTTATCTTTGAAGGCGACACTAGAAATGCCTGAGAAGTTATTCATGAATGCATTTTCCTTCAACTGGAATGTGCTCCAAACATTGAGCTCCAATACTAGAGGTTTTTTAAGGAATAGAAGATCATGAATGTAGTTGGACAAGACCTCCAAGTGGCTCTGTTCAGGTCGATATAGGTGGTTTTGTAATCAACAATAACAGAGCTGTATGTGTCGGAGTTATACGCAACTACATAAGGGAGTGGATCATTGGGTTTACAAGAGATGTGGTTTTTCGCTTTATTGTTGAAGTTGAAATAATGGCTATTAAGACAAGTCTGAAAGTTGCCAAGCAACTTGGTTTGCATAAAATTGATCTTTGCTCTAATTCCATTAATGCTATCAACCTTTTGAGAAGAGATTGTATCATAATCATCTTCTAGGGGCAGAAATTTCCAAGATATGAGAGGCTATCTATGGTGCTGGGGAAGTGAAAATTCACTATACCAACATGGATAATATTGGATGTGTTGATTTTCTAGCAAAGTCAAGAAGGCTATTGATTCAGAGATTATATTGATACTTACCGTTTCTCCAAGATGTTTGAGACAATATTTAGAAGATAAGCAATATACTAGTTCGTGAGTTTGTTATTTTCTTTTATGGGTTTTTAGGTTAGTTCCTAGTTTTTTAATCCCTTAAGCTCTTGCTTGCCTTTGTGATAAAAAAAGAAAGAAAGCAACCACAACGAGACATAGAGGGACACAAGACTCTGTGATGGCTATACTAGAGTGGGGTAGAATGCCTAGCCAAGTTTTAGAAAGAATGACAAATAGGCTTTAAAAGGGTTAATTAATTTAAATTAAATCTCAATCAATTTTAAAATGCCAAACTCTAAGAATTTGTAAGTTCGTCTCTCAATTTTAAAATTTTATTGCAATAAATTTATAACTTTTTTTTAAATTTTAACATCATTGAAGAATAAATAAAATTTTTTTTCCTATTAAAATTTGGAGTATAAGTTATAAATTTATTTCAATGAAATTGAAAAATTGAGAGCCGAATTTGGAATTTCTAGAGTTTGGCACTTTAAAATTGGTTGAAACTTAATTTGAATTAATTGATCCCCTTGTAACCTGTCAGTTAGGGCTGTGCAGAAATTCTCCAATCCTATTCAACCCAATTGGGTCCTAGAAGGCATAGTCTTGTCCAGTCCTATTAAAAACTGGTCTTTTAGGATTGAAAAGAGTAAAGAAACTAGACTATTTTTTGACTGGATAAAAAACTGGGCATCTAAACCACTTAGTCCACTCTGGTCTTATTAAATTTATTTAATATAATTATAATTAATTTACTAATTATTTATAATAATAAATTAAGACTATTAATAATTTATCAAGTTTGGTTCCTAGCACAGTTGTGCGCTCAAACTAACAATTTAATAATCTGGATCACTTAGATTGTAACTGAAATATTTTTTTCTTGTTGTTGGAAATTATTGTAGATTTATTATGATTTAAGTGTTTTTATTATCTTAATTGAGTTTATTAAATTTAAATGGATTATTGCCTCTCATAGAGAAAAAAAAGAAAAAAAAAGTCATTGCATGAAGTAGGGAAGAATTTTACCAAAAAGGTGAAATGGGATATTCTCTTTGGATATTTATGTTGGCATGTTTGGATAGATAGATGCAAGATGGCCTTTGAAAATGAAAATGAATTTAAGCACCATTCAATTCTCCATACTTTCTTTAGGGCTTGTTCGGATCTTGATTTAATTAATTTAGCCCCTTTGTTGTCTTACAATCACACTGAGCCTAGGATGAATAATAAACCCAAGAATGATATCATTAGAGTAAATGTTGATGGTTCTGTGCTAGTTAATGGTAATAGTGGCTACGGTGGAGTTATTTGGGGTAAGAATGACAGGTGGTTTAAAGGTTTTAGTTGCAAGCTCATTAATGTTCCCCCTATTATTGCAGAGATCCTGGCCATCATTCAATGCCTTCAACTTTGCTGGAATTTTGGTTTCAAAGAAGTGGAGGTTCACATCGAGTGCATTGATGCTATCCAACTACTTTTAAGAGGTTGTGATGATGGTCACCCCTTTAAGGACATCATTGACGAAGGCAGATGTATTTTGTATAAAGATTGGAATATTATATTGTCCCATGTTACTAGAAATTGTAATTCTTTAGCTGATGGCTAAGCTAAGATGTCACATAGCTTGCTTAGTAATTTTTGTACCTTTGATCACCCCCCACCTCTTCAGCAGGAGAAGACAGATGATGAAAGTTCTTACTTTGGAAATCCAACCGTTTATAATCGTTATTAAGTCTTGAATGCTAGCTTTGTTTAATAAAAAAAAAAAGAAAAAAAGTTAAGTGAGTACTGAATTAATAGGATCAGTCCAATTCTATAGATCAAGTTTGATCCTATTAATCTTCAGATTATTACTGAACCGGATCGGATTATGGATTACCTAACTCAATTATTTTTATAAAAGAGACTATATATTAGGTTAAAGTCTGGGGCAAATCTGAATTAGTTTGGACTGTTGTTACACTTGAAAGATGGTTTGCCTAGGATACTGGATGCATAGGCAAAAAAAAAAAGTCTAATTCCATCTAATTCTTTCTGCAGCGCTATTGTCACTCATTATCCCTAAGTATTAACACCAGTACGTGATGTGCTAAACAATGTAGCCATTGAACATGAGACACATTGACAACAGGATGCCTCAAAATAATAATCTCGCCGCACGTCACACTTGCCGACAAGAACTCCATTTCAAATTTTTTATAGTGGTCTCCAATATTTAACCCCATAAAAAAGTCTCAGAAAGGATAAAAGGAGTCTAATGTATCTGCAATATATACATATATAATATTCCTTCCTATTCAATTGATAAGATAGAAAGTGAATACCTTTTTATCCTATTTAAAATTATGTCATTAAAATTTTTATCATAAATTTTTCTTTGATCCTTCATTAACAATTTATACATATACATCCTCCTTTCATTTAAAAATATAAGAAACTTTTTTAAATTAAATATTAAAAAATATAAGATGTTTAGTTTTAAATGTGTAATTAATGAGTTTTTTTCTCTAAAAATAACTTTAATAAATAAAGCACTCAACCATTTATCTTCAAGAGAGACACTATATTAAATAAGAACAAACATAGAAAGATGGTATCAATTTAAAAATAATTAATTAACTTATTTGGAGGTATGATTCAGTTAAATATATTTTATATTGTTTAATGAAAGTAGTATTTTTTTTTTATAAAAATATAAATAAACTGCCAAGTATCCATAGCCTAGGTTATTTCAATAATGTAAATCTCTCCCAACTGGCACGATATTCTTTTGAAGGCAACAAATTCATGAAACCATGCAACTCACTTGGATACAGCGATCAAACATCTGTTGAAAGCAGTTTGACCGAACACTTGGATACAGTTGTGACAAACTATATACTGGAGGCATCATAATAGCAGTTTAACAGAATTGATTAACGAAATGATCATGGCTACAACATCTCTCTCTCGAGATGAGTTTGTTTCATGAGTTGCTGGCCTTCTCTCTGTCAATATCTCACTATAGGTCCAGGATATTTAAATTATTCTCCGGTTCTAAATGGGAGGCATAAAATCATATCTTGAGATGAGTTTGTATAATGGCAAAACTCAGTGGCAACTGGTTAGTTCTTTCCTCAAGTTTCAGTGGCTTGCGGATGCTTTAATATGGTTGAGCCCTTTCGTAATCATGAATAGGAGGTCATCATCATTATATTGACAGAGGTCCATGGTTAAGTTTAGATAAATTTGAAGAAGCCACGAATACTCATGACTGGTACTGGTAGAGAGAGAGAGCGAGTGCAGGTGAGTCAGCCACTAATTTAGATTCATGACAAGCATCTTATTCTTGACGTACAAGTATCTATGCTTCCAATTTTGTTTTTTTGGGCATAATTTTTCATACAAAGAGAAACAAGTCTATGCCCTTCAACCAGATTTGACAGATTTTTCTGCAGAAGAATACATATACTCAATATTTCTTAAATGCACTGTGCCTAAAACCTCCAATTATATCAGGAAGAAGAAAGAGCAATGAACCAAATGATTAGAAAGAACCGACAAGCTACCCGTTTCATGGAATCAGCCGTAATTTTTTTTCCCCAGCTGTAAAAATGTATGCAACTCTATACAATTGTAAAATCTGTTCAAGTACCTGTTACACACAAATGCAAACGTCAGTTAACTAGAGAATTTGCAAATTAATCACAAGACTCATCGGATACAATAAATATGCCCGCAAGGAAAATTCGACTAAAGTTAGGAGGCCTAAATGAAGAACATTTCAACAGTGTCTCCTAAATCAAATAAACTACATAAAGAGGAACATACTGACATAATAAATAGCGAACTTCAGTAGGATAGGTTGTGGAGAATTGAACTTGTCATTGGGGCTAACGTTATGCAAATTAAACAACCAATGCACTACGAGAGAAATTCCGGCCAAATCATAGAGGTGAGTTTTGGAAACTAGTTTTGTTAATCAGAGTAACATAAAATAATCTGGAAAAAAAAATCAACGATAGTATTTTTTTGAAAACACTAAAAACAACGGAGAAAGACTTCAGTAAGTATCTTGTTTGCTCGTCAGGGCAAGGGGAAGACTGAGTCACACCTCTTATGCAGCATGGTACGATTGTTATTCAATTAAAAAAAAATGACAATTCAATATCGTTTAGAACTTAATATCACATAAGTAATTTCTTCAATTTTTTTTTAAGTAATTCCTTCAAAAAACTTCGTCGCCACTTGTTATGTTTTTATCAGAAAACTTGCAAGAAATTCCCAACGAGATCTAATAAAGTTTGGATGCCTCTAACTACTTGGCTTTCGAAAGTTCAATGCAGACACCAAGCACGACGATAACCCAAACTATCACAAACTGGTACCCATAAAATTGCAAATGGATAAAGACAGTATGGGAGCCTCGGAACTCGCAGCAGAGAAGAACGATGGCATATGATGATAAAATTTAGAGTCGAATTTCGCGACTTTATCTTTTAATTAAAAAGAGGCAATACGAATCATGGCACCATTAGTTATATCATTCGTTGAGTGATCTACTTAGTCAAATGGCAACAAAACGGAAGTAGGAAGAAACAACTACCCTGAGACAACTCGCAACAAGCACGAGATTTGATAGAGATATGGGAAGTAAGATGAGCGTCAGCAATAGCACTGTGCAGAGGCAAGAGCGACTGCGCGCAGCCCAACAGCCCCAAAGTCCTTGAAAAACGAAAAGAGCTAAATTAAAGAAAGAAAGAAGAGCAAGGCTTTGACTTCTTATAAATAGAAGATAAGGTACCTAGGAACTGCAATGAGGGGGCGGCGAGAGTCGAGAAGGTATGATCGAAGCGGACATGGAGGGCGGCGAAGTCGAGAGATAGACGGCGGAGACGAATGATTTGAGAAGGTTCTGGCGGCGGCGATTAGAGACCTTGAAAGAGATCCGCCACGCAAAGCCATTGCTATGCTTTGCTCAACTCGGCAACGTGCAACTGAGAGCTATCAGACTTCAGAACAGCGAAACAGGGTTTTCTGGTCAAGAAGCTGAACGGCTAAACCCTACTTGCCGTATGCAACATTGGCCCATTAGTGATAATGATTAATGAGGATTAAAGCTTATAATTTGTTTAAAATAAAATTTTTATAATTAGTATTTGGAAAAATCCAAAGGTATTTGATAATTTCCTTATCAATATTATTTTTTTTATTTCATTTCCTGATGTCTTGAGAAATCTGAAATATTACTATCTCTCGTTTAAATTAATTCAAATTTTCGTTATGGGATCTATTTCAAAACTATCTTTGATGTATTTATTTAATATAATTTTATATTTTAAAATTCAAACTAAAGGTCCCATAATAAGATAATTTTAGCTCCTTTAACTAATTTAAACAATTACAAAGTACCCTCAATTATCAATATTTTTTTCCCAGCATTCTTATCAATATTATTGGGTTTGATAATTTTTTTTTTAAAAAATTCCTGATCCCAAATCATTAAAAATAAAACTTAGTCACATGTTTTGCATGAAATTTGAGATAATGCATATTTCCTTCGGACCACAGTATAAATATTTTTTTTTAGAAGTTTTACTTAATCCAAAATAATATATATAGATAGGGCTAGGGTTGTGCAAAAATCTTTCAGTCCTATTTAGTCCAGTCCAACTCAAGATGATATCTGTTTTATTCGGTCCATATAGACAATGGTCCTTTAGAACCAAAAAGATTGAAAAGACTGGACTATTTCTTCAGATTGGACTAGACAAGAGATTAGGCATCCGAACCACTTGGTCTAATCCAGTCCTATTATTTTTTTATTATAATTATAATTAATTTATTTTTGACAAATGTTTGAAGTGTTATTAATGCTAAAGAGATGATTGTATGAAGATTTGTTGAGTTTGTTTCTAAATTGTTGTTGTAATGTAATGTTGAATTTTATTGAGTGTTGTTTTTGTTAAAATTATAAATTTAAATCATTTGGACTATAACAGAAATATTTTTTTTCTTATTGTTAGAAATTATTATGAATTTATTATTATTGTAAGTGGTTTTACTATTTTAATTGAGTTTATTATGTTGAAATGGATTATTGCCTCTCATGGAATAAAAAGGGAAAAAAAAAAAAGCTAAGTGAATACTGAACTGACAGGAACAATCTCTTAGTCTTATGAACCAAGTCTAATCTTGTTAATCTTCGAGTTATCACTGGACAAGACTAGACTACGGATTGCCTAACCTAATTTTTTTCATGAAAGAGACCGAATTCCGCATTAGGATAAAGTTCAATGCTGTCTTGTCTTTTATGCAGCCTATAAGACATTGGGTGTGTGTGTGTGTGTGTGTGTGTATTTTGTCAATTATATACTTACTTTATTGAGTAATAATTAATAAAGATGTTTTGAATAAATTAATATCATATTTATTACACTCAATGGCACAGTTATAAAGATGTGAAAAGTTTTTAAAAAAAAGTTCAAGAATTTAACTAATATTTCTATGAAAAATATAAATTAATTAACAATAATTTATATCATAATCCAATCGAAATATATCAATACTTTATAAACTATATAACTTTTTTTTTTGTTATATGCATGCGTGTATTTGATAAGGCTGTACTTAAAATGACAAGTATAAGGATTAAGAAAATCAACAAAATAATTTAGTGGGAGTATGATTACTTTCTTACTTCTGTTTCTTGTTAAAATTCTCTAATATATTTTATCAAGAAAAAAAAAATTTCTTTGATCTATCATGTACAATTAGTTATTAATATTTTTAATCACTGTTGACTAACCAACACAAAGGATCACTAAAATTTTCCTACGTTTAACGAAAATAATGGCTTGCTTCTCATTAAAATCTGAGAAAGAAACCCCCCTTCTGTTGGATCGGGACTAGTAATCGAAACTCGTATCCTCTAGCTGAACATCCGTAGCAATTTGTCCTGAGCACATCAGACCGGCCAGTTCAAAGTCAAAATCAAACACCCCACACCAACGGGTCTAACCAAAAAAGGAAAACAAAAAACAAAAAACCCAAAAAGAAAAAGACTTTTACAACATGAGAAACCAAAATTCAAATCTTCGCTGAAAAAAAAAAATAATACTCACGTTTAATTCCCGACCCTACAATTAAATTAAAATGCAACTTATAAGCAATCAAAATATAATAATAATAATAATAATAAAGTCACACCTCACGCAATTGACCTTTAGCTTAACTGAGGGTTCCACTCCTACAAATATGTACACACCTTAAAGTAAACAACGGATTTCTTATCAATAAAAGAGAACTAGATAAGGACTATCATCCAAAATATTCTCTTGACAAAGGAGGTGGACATTGATCAAGATGTGACTACGCATGCTAAGTTATTTCACTATAATTTAGGGCAATAAGTTACAGCAGTATCCAAGGAGTTCTGCTTACAATCACCGGTTAAAATGAAAACCTACCCATATAAAAATACACTTGCACCAATCTAGCCTACAGGGGGGAAAGAAAGAATTTAATTTCATAGGCAACAGCTAACTGCGGGGCATTCTCAGGGTTACATTCTGAAATCCAAAACACAAACTGTATTATTAGCAAAACATGCGGCGATTTTGTCACCCTCCTTGTTCCAGCAGACCTCAAAAATGCCTCCGTTGCCAGTGTATGTTTTCACAATCTTCCCGTCCTTCAATGACCAAATGTGCATGGATTTGTCAAGAGATCCACTGGCCAAATACTCACCATTGGGACTGAATGCCACAGAATAAACAGGATCCCTGTCACCAAATATAGCATGTAAGAACCTAAGTGATTCCCTCCCAAGGCCTATAGAAGTCGTCAAATTGTCCATTATGAATAATGATTAGCCTTGTCAATGTCTCATACAGTGGAACAGGAAAAGAAAAGGACAAGGACAGCAAAAGAGGACTGCTTCACATATTATAAACCAATACCTGTGTCCATTCAAGCTGCAGATGAGTTTCCCAATTTCAACATCCCACAACTTCACAGTCGAGTCAAATGATGCACTGCATGAAAAGGCAACCGCATAATACTTAAAAAGCATACTTTCAACAACCGCAAAAAGAAAAATATGAAGAAATTGATCCTCGTAGTGAAACTACAGAAACATGAAGACATATGAATCACCAGCAGTTATAAAGAAACCTCACTGCACTAAAATAGTATATAAAATTCAAATGGATTTTGATTATAAAAACTTAATAAGCTGTAGAAGCAGCTTACAAGTTCAGCGACAGAACATTGTAAACCAAATTATAATTAGTTGGAATCAAACCCGTGATAAGTTAACATAGAATTGCAAATGTCACTTATCAACCACGGCCCACAGAGTCTGGAATTACACATTTTAAATAAATTATATATTCAAGGGCTCCACATAACTAACAAAACCAAGAAACAGACTTACCTAGCCAACACCAATTTTTGGTTAGGGTTACTTGTACCGGGACCAGTTGGGCTCCATCTGATTGTATATATCTCCTACAAAAAATTATTGAAGTTATTTGGGGAGGGGGGGGGGGCCACACAAAGTGCAAGGAAATCAAACGGTATCGAATATATGAGAAATATCATTAGAATATAATACAAAACCAAAAGCCCAGAGTACCTTGGAATGCTCCCTTAAATCATAGGCATACGTGTCCTGCTTCATGCTCCATATCTACATAACAATCATGGATTATTATCACTTATCAATAAAATGAACAACGACTAAACACAGAGTATTCACCCCAAAAAAAAAAAAAAAAACTAACACCAATTCACGCAAAATGGCAGGTTTTGCTTTTCAAAAATAAGATTACAAAAACGAAGAGTTCGTTGAAAATGCCAGTCTGTAGACCCCAAAACAAAAAACACGAGTCATGACACAATAAATAGATCATTCCCTCAAATAAGTGGCCAAAAATTACCTTTGCAGTAATATCATCAGAACAGGAGGCCAGCAATGAGCCTGTGGGATCCCATTTGACACAATTAACTTCACCCTGTAATTGCAGAAAATTCATTATCAACCAGAAAATCTTATCCAAGCTCCATATTGCACCTAAACGAATTAAATTGAAATACTGTGTTCTGCAAAATCAACAGGCCATTTACATCAAATCAATCTCAGCTAACCATGATGAGAAATAGCAAAAAAGCAAGGCTATAATGGGATTGAAACTAATAAACATAAGATAATAGGAAAGCTGGCAGGACCCATCTTGAAAGCAGTGTCCCACTAGCCTGTTGAGTTTGTAAACCATGACAACCATTTTAACTTTTTATCAACAACAAATTCAAGTTAATGATCAACCCATCTCTCTTCCCAATTCCAAGTTACAGTGTTACATGAAGAATTATTTTATATTGTAATACAATAAAAGAGATCATGAGTACAAACCTGGTGGCCAGCAAAAGATTTTATAGGGCGGTTTTCACCAATCTTGCAGACATATATCATATTGTCAGTGGAGCTTGTTGCAAATGACACATTGTTACGCCAGTCAACATCAAGAGTTGGACCTAAACAACATATCAAAAAGAAAATAAATCTCATTGACTTTTTTTTTTGGCCAAGGATTAACAACTCGTTGATAAACAGAGTTAACTTAATATATCATCAAATCTCCACCTGAATGAAATTCAAATTGCTGTTTCCATTCCTCTGCCTTAACATCCCACACAATTGCAGTTTTATCACAACTTCCAGTAAGAAGATAATCGCCTTTCTTATTCCACTTCAGAGAGAATATGGGTCCTTTGTGTTTGCTTAATGTGCTCCTTAGTTCACCTGGTTCAAGACACCTTCATTTGATCAAAACAGATCTATATTTGAACAGTCCTAAGAACAACTTACAAAAAATTCACCTAGAGAATATTACCTGTACAAAAAGATCAATATAGAAATTTAATGTATAACCTATAGGTTGAATGCAAATACATAAATCAGACAGAAAACATAGCCATTTGCAGCGTAAATGCAGGCTAAGGAATTCTTATAAGAGGACAAAGACAGTAGTACAATTGTCTTTATCGCCTAAAAATCAGTACAGAATTCAAGT